TTCATTTTGTTTCTGGATACAACCCAGAGTTTATTCGACATTTTTCCGAGTATCTCTGGTATGTTTCAGAGTTCATTCGATGTTCTTCCGAATGGCCTTGAAATTTGTTCTTTGTCCCCGAGTTTATTCGATGTTTTTCTGAGTATCTCTGGTGTGTTTCAGAGTTCATTCGATGTTCTTTCGGATGTTTCTGATGTTTGTTTCTCCTTGCATATTTTTCGACGATTCCTGAAGATCCCGCTCGATCTCTTCGTTTAAAGGAATATCCCAGAAATTTCAACATTTGTCATTTACCTGATCCTACTGCCGTGTGGATCCTGCGTTAACTTTTCACCCTAGAGTGTCAATTGGTCATGCTTGAACCTGTTGAGCAGCTACTCTTGGTTATTTTTCCCTAGTGGAAACCGTCTTGCCGGTGCCACCTCCATTGAGGATCTCTTCTTGCTTTCCTTCTAAAGTGACAACTGGTCATGCTTGAACCCGTTGGTCCATCACTTTGGATTTTCCCCGGTTTCATGATGTTCCCCAGCGCATCGTCTTCCCCAAAGTGTGTGGTTGGTCGTTGCGTCGTCCCCCTGTGTCGTCGTTTCGTCTGCATGTCTACATCATCATTTGTCATCATACGCAACACATTAGATTCATAAGCATTATCAGCATTGTTGTTTTTTCCATAAGCATTGCATATCACTGCATCTAAGGGAAAAAATTTCGTTTATCTGTATTTAAATCCCTTTCACCATGATTTCTCGAGCCTTTGTCACTCAAATCACCCGGTGAAGTTATTTAAATAGGGGCAACTGTCATACCCCAAATTTTACCCTTATATTCATTGATCATCCGCATATCATTTAAGTCAGTCATAGATGCATAGCTAACCATTTTAACCGTTTGTTTGTTTTATGTTGTGAAGTTAAGTTACTGCTGGAAGTTCAGGAAGTCATGAAAGCTTTACATGTACCTCTTATCTCCTGCAGACTCCTCAGTTAATACAAGTCATTCTCCTCAAAGTCTCTCACAGTTTGCCCTAAGGAGGATTAGATTTTCCTACTCTTTTGGTTTTGAGAATGGTCGTGGGAAACTGATTGGAAATCATTTTGAGTTTCATCACTAGTGGCATCCTCGTTTCAAAGGTTTGTTCGTGGCATGGTTTAATGTTATTCACGAAGTGATATCATTAGATGTCAAGAGAAAGAATTTGGATTTCTGAATATTTGGTGAAATTTACGCTTCGAAGTGTTGAAATTTGGTTGAAGAACCTAGAATTGAGTTAGCAAGAAGCTCCCGAATTGGAATTCAAGATTCATGTCTTATACAAAATTCCACTACGTTTTGACCCCCATTCTTCAAAATTCAAAATTAAGGCATTTTCTAAGAACTTCAAGGTTGGTTTTCAAAGAAATTTAAAGTTTAAGTTACAAGCCCAATTCCTCACAAATCAAGCTCTTCCAATTCATGTAATCAAATTAGGAATTATTGAATTTAGAAAATCATTCGAAAGTTCAAAGGGCCTCGTGCGTTAGTTTCAAAGTTCAAGTATCTTATCATAGAAGTTCTATCCAAGTTCCCGTTATAAAATTGATTTAGTTAATGCCATCCAGGTTCAATTCCAATTTCAAAGAAGGTTAGAACTCAACGTTAAGTAATGTGTAAAGCCATACTTAAAGGTCTAAGTTCATGGAAGTACAACCTTAATTTGTTTAGATCCAAGAACCGTTTTGGTTCTATCTTGATTTCACCAAAGCATGCAACCTTTATTCAAACCATGAGTTTCAAATATATTGAACCCGTCACGCCATTGCTTACAAAATAGACTCAAGATTTTCAACATATCAAAGGTGATGGTGTTGATACTCTTACTGTAAGCTACTTGATACAAGAGATTACGCATATCAAAGGCTATTCATGTTCAAACCAAGCTTTAATATTAGCTGAAGTACAAGGAAAACCAAATCTATTATTACAAATGTAAGAATTTTCCTAACAGATTACAACTTCACAAGCCAACTTATTTACAAGGCAACAAGGACCAATTTCCAGACCCACCTAGTTAGAAATATTGACTGAATTCACAACCTCACAGACACACAATACAAATGACAAAATTGCAAAAAGCTTAAAAACCCTAACAGCGAAAAGAAAAGCAAATTGAGGAACTTATCTCGTGGTTTCTTACGTCACATCGCCTGCCATTAACACCGGAACCGCGAGCCACCGTCCAAACCCTTAAGTCGTCGCCACCTCCAATAAGCCGAGCCTATCACCTCCATTTAGGTGACCATCATGTTCCATTAACTGTTATTTCATTGATTTGTTTGTTTTGTTTACAGGAAGAAATGAAGAATCAGAGGAAAGATTGAGAGCGAAGGAGATCGAGAAAAGAAAGAGGGTGAGACGAAGTGAGGAAACGAAAAAATGGAATTGCAGAAGGGAGTGAGAAAGAGGATCTATGGGGAAGAAGCGTTGCTGAAGCTTTTAGGGTTTCTCTTGTGAAACTCTTCTCCCCTCTTTGCATTTGCTCGCGGGACGGGTTGGGTCCGGTGGGTTCATCACCACCGGCCCAACCCATTTTCTTTTTAGTTTTTTTTTTAAATTTTTTTTATTTCTGTAATTTATTTTGTAATATTAAAAAATTATAATTAAAAAAACTAAAAAACACTAACACTAACATTATTAATAAAATAAAAATCAGAAAAACAATTAAAAATATAAAAGTGAAAACATGAAGAAAGAAAAAAAGAAATAATATAGTTTCTGATTTAATTTTAAGTTAGCTCTTGTACTTTAAAAATAAAAAAATAAAAAGTGATTAGTTTTAAATTTATTTTTTTAAACTTAATTCAATAATAAAATAATAAAAATATGCCTAGAATAAGTTTTAATTTAATTTCAGCTTTTTTTACTTAATAAATAAAAATCAAAAATATATATTTTATTGATTAATATCCATTTAACTTAATTAATTCTAAACAAAATACAAAAAAAAATATTCATTTAGCTTTAACTTAATTCTTAATAATACTTAGTCTTCTTCTAGTTTTTATTTAGAAACCAGTTTAATTAATCTTTTTGCTAAATTACACTTAATCAAATTTTCCTTAAAAAAATAAACAAATTTTTTTTAGCTAATTTAAGGTTTAACTAATTTTTTCCAATTTAATTAATTTTAACAATTTATTAGCTTAGATTTAATTTCTTTAACTAATCTTTTTCTATTTTCACTTAATATTAAAAACTCTAAAAAACAATTAATTTCATTTTTCTAACCATCAAAGTCAATTACAATTCCATCGCTTAATTCCATGTTTAACCGTGTTCTCGTTGCAATCACATCTCGTATTATCCTTTACAATATCTCATGCTTGTATATCAATTTACATTTTAATTATCATCGCTTTATTTCACCGTTATTTTCCCTCCGAAGGAAAGGTCGCATCATTTGACCGCCGAGTCAATTTTCCTTTACATCCACCCCTTTATCCTAGCCTTAGGATTAGGAGTCGCCACACTCAATATAAGTTTGCCGCCGTGGAATACTTATCTCACACCCTTTTTAATTCAACTTTATAACGTAGAAATCGGAGTCGCCGCACTCTGAAGTAAGCGCTTCCCTATGAACGCTTACTTCCCCCTTGAACCTTGACCACAGTCAAGAAGTTCCTATTCTCCCCTCTGTGAGGGGAACTACGATTACTTTGATTCAATCCCCTATCCTGGATACGTAGGCACAGGATGCGAGTCTTGGCGAGTAAACTTAGGACTAACCCCCTTAGGTTTTTTTCTTAACCTTTAACCCTTAGCATTACACCCTTTAAGCAGATAATTTTAGCAATATCATATTTAAAAAAACAAGAGGTTCCTGTAGAGTACTACAGAAGTTTAGGATGTTAATACCTTTCCTAAGTTTAACCAACCCCCGAACCCTAGATCTCTCCCCGCATTGTGTTTACGATGCAAAATAGATTTTTCTTTCCTTTAACCTTTCCTTCGGATAAATCAAAGACCGGTTGTAAATGAATTAAGATTCAAGTTAATCAATAGCTTGACATCCAAATTTCACCGCAACACTCGCAAAATGAATACGAGTATGAGCACAAACAGTTATCCATTAAAATAAGTGGATATGAGTGAAGATACAAATACTTTAGTATCCTTCCCGCCCCATACCTGCCCATGTATTTATATTTTTATTATTATATATACATGTATGTTCATCAATTTTATTAAATACATCATTACTAAACTTGTGTGCATTTTAATATAAATATTTATTTATTTTTTAATTGAACAATAACATCTTTTAAAATTTTTAAATGACATAACATTATAAATAATAATTTATTGATAATTTTCTATTAAAAACGCAGACAAATGAGTGTTGATACATGTACTTAAATACTTATAAGGTAAGAGTATTATATACTACCCTACAATGCCCAAAATCATCCCTAAATCAAACAAACCCTTAAATAAATAAATTTAGGAAAAATCTTTTTGAATAAGTTAAAATTAAAAGTTAAGATAGAAATAAAATATCTCAATTTATTTTCCACTAACCTTTACATTTAGGCGCTACTTACTCACATCACACTACTCACTGTTCCCGTTTCTGCTCCAATCGAAACCCTCCTACGCAAAACCCAAACCCTTCCCTTTTATTTCCCTCCTATAGCGCATCTTTTCCCCCCTTCGATTTTGCTACACACTTTCTTCCGGGTATACCTCCATCGGCTTTTGATTTCTTTTATTACCGTTTCTCTTTTATTCATTCACTTTCATTGTTTTCTTTGCTCGCATCTAATGTGAAATTAATATTCAGTATAAGAGTTAGGGATTTCAACAAATAGATCACCGTAAACGTTCTCCAATTGTTATTTCATTTTCATCTTTAGTCAAATTCTATAATTTATTTTGTATCTATAATATATAATAACTTCCTCGTGTTGATTTTGTTTTTATTGTTTGTTGAAGATTTTTTAGGGTTTAGATTGTGAACAACAAAGATGAGTGGAACAGAGAAAGGTTCAGGAACCACGAAAACACCAGCTGATTTCCTCAAATCCATTCGTGGTAGGCCGGTTGTTGTTAAGCTCAACTCGGGTGTCGATTATCGAGGTCAGATTTCTATCGTTTTCATTTTTGTAGTTTTTGATTTTATGGAGTTTGAGCTTAAATACTGAATCACGTTCCTAGGTTACATTTATTTGGTTGATTCTTTTCATTTATGCACTGTATTCGGATATCTTAAGTTCTCTTATTTGAATTGTTTCAAATTTGATTCGATGAAATTGAATGGTTTTGAGTTATTTTATTTGAAATTGTTTCAAATTTGATTCAATTAAATGGATATATGATAGTATCCTTTTTATTTTCTGTCTAATTTGGAGTTATAAAATGAACTCGGTTAAAGGTGATATGAACTCAAATTCACATAGGGTCCATTGACACTTGCATAATGAACTCTATAGTAAAAAATAGATAGAATTGAAATTAGAAATTGAACTGTAGAACTGATAGGCCAGAGTTGTTGATTCAGCTGATTGATTGATTTTTACTCATACGCATTTTTATCAAACTGTCCAAACTCGAAAAACCCCCTTTATAACTTAATTTATTCTAAATTTTGGTAATTGAATTAGGAATCCTTGCGATACGAGTGCCGTTTCTTTAAACTACATTTTTATTTATTAACTCGTTTTTGACCCGTGTGCGACATTTCTTTTCTTCTTCCAAAAGTCCAAAACCATCTGGAAATGGCTGAAGATAATTATTATGAGAATATGTTTTCAAAACAGCTGAAAAGAATTGAGTATCAAAGTGCGAAAACAAAGAAAAACAGTTGATAGAATAGTAAAAAAAGAAAAACTAGGAAAAATAAGTACGGCACAGTGTATTGTATATTTGTATTACATCTAACTTAGGTAACTAATGTTACTAATAGTTTAGTTATTGGTTAAGAAGAGTATGAGTTGAAATTGAAGGGAGAAGGGGGGAATAATAGAGGAGGAAAGAAAAAGTTAGGTTGGATTGGGGAGAGCGTCAGGGTCTCTCGAACGTCAATGTTTGTCCTCTAAACCCTAAAATAGTAGTTCTGAAATAATGGATGTACTGTTTCTTGATTGTTCATTAAGTTACCTCTGTTACTAGTTTGGTTCTATTACTTATTGGCGAAGATTGGTGCATATGTCATTCTGTATTTTTATAGGTACACATAAACTAGGCTGAATCCTTTTGGTTAATGCTGCAGGTATCTTAGCTTGTCTGGATGGCTATATGAATATTGCAATGGAACAAACAGAAGAGTATGTTAATGGACAACTGAAGAACAAGTATGGTGATGCATTCATTCGAGGGAATAATGGTACTAGCATTTGGAATAAAATGTTTGTGATTCTTTATTGTTATTTGACTGCAGAAATAAGCATTTGAGAATTCTTTTTTTATGCAGTTTTGTACATCAGTACCTCAAAGAGGACTCTAGCAGACGGGGCTTAGATATACAGGAATCCAAATACATGTTGGTTTGAACTTTGAAAGACTCTTGTAACTTTTTGTATTATGCGGGGACTGCCTGGACATAGTAGCGGCTGTTACCTATTTATCTGAAGCTTTTTTTTTATTTCATGTTTTTCATTGTAATTGAGTTGATATGGTTATATATTAAGGCAAAACAGCACAGACAGTTTGTAAAATACTTTTTGGTATCTCTTGGCAGAATATTTTTGCTTTGTTTGGAATTTTAAAATAGTAATATTAAATGTTATCCCTTCAGTCTAGTATTTTTTAATGTTTATATTAATGATATCTTCTACAAATGTATGGCTGTTATCTGATTGTAACTTGTCCTAACTCTATCATGGCTAACTTTACAACATCAAACTTGATTTTTTGTTGTCAATAGTTGATGCTGCTTAGGCATATAATTCATGATCTTGTTGTAATATACACCCTCCGGTCATAAGACTAAATACATTAATAGTCAAATGTACTATAAAAAATTAAATTTGCTTATAACAGTGACCGGTGGGTGTAGATATAAACCGGGCTCATTAAAAGGTACATAATTTAATTTTAACCACACAAGCACATTATGATATTAGCTTGATTGTCATGTTGTTTGTTTTTGAGGCCTTATGTCCTTCAATGATAGATAGTATGACCATGATTAATTCCTTTTACTATATATATTCACTGCAATGAGAACGTGTCAGCCATGCCTGCTTAATGAACTTTCTTAAGTCGAATTATACTAAGATGTATTAAACTTCAATTCAGTCTGGTTCTTTTGTACAAAACGATTCTCTTAGGGTGTGTTTGGTTCGGGGTAGATGGAGGGGAGGAGAAATTTTTAATTAAATATGTTTGGTTCAAATCTTAGGAGGGGAGGGGAGCAAAATCGCTCCAAAACACACTTTTTGATTCCCTCCAAATTGGGGGGATTTAGAGGGGAGGGGAGGGAATATGAGTTTTAATATTTAAAAATTATTATATTTATTAAAATATTCTTAGTTTAATTTCAGTATTTCAAAATTATTTGTTTTCTTTCGTTTTACTGTTTTTTCTCGATTGTTTCCATCAACTTATTATAATTGTTCTCTACCTTCAAATTATTTTATAATTTTTATACTTAATATAAATCATAATCATTGTCTTTTTTTATAAAAAAAATTATGTTTAGTCATATTCGTTTTTTTCTTTTGATTTTGTTAGATATTCTATCATATTTTCTTTTATATCAAATTGTAAACCATTCATTTTATTTATGTTTGTTTATTCATTTTATTAAATATTTTGAACCATTGATATTTAATAATAAGTTATTTATATATTTGTTTTGTTATATGATTCATCACAATTTAAACGATGTTATTGGCATATAGTTTAATTTATGTTGGAAAGTTATAAGTCGAATCAATTGTACTCAATTTTTTAACTTTATGTGACAAATAAATACTTTTTTAATCACTCAATATTAAAAAATTTATTACCAACAAAAATACGCATGAATTTTTCACATTTTAATATCATATAACTTATATAAGATCATAAGGATAAAATTGTAAATTATTAATAAATTTCCTCCCCTCCCCTTCTGAACCAAACACATTTTTAATTAAAATCCCTCCCCTCCCCTTCCCTCCTCTCTTTTGAACCAAACACTTATTTGATTAAAAAAATCCCTCCCCCTCAATTGAACCAAACAGATCCTTAAGGGGCAATAATTCAAATTCGGGAAACTGTGACAAACCAATAATACTTGAACTAACTCTTGTATCCTAAAAGTACAATTCAGTTGGAAGATAATTCAGTTGGAAGATGTAGAGATGTTTAATACGAGGTGGTAGAGATATTTGATATAACCTGCATTTTCATATTTTTGTATGTTTTGAGTGTGATTGTTGTCGATAGACTATTTGACAGAAACCCTGCTCTTCAGTGAAATTTGAGACCCAATTTCACACAATATAACAGAGTTGGTATCAATAATGCACTTGCCATTGGGAACATATCATGACGAAGAAGGTGAAGACAATAATCTGAAATTTTCCCTTCATCTGATCTCATTCGAAAAAATATCTCATTGGATTTAATGTGTAATTGATGGTCAAATGCATTAATTAGAAACTATGTCTGGGTTTCATAATTTCTTTCATTATGGAATACAGTAGTTATACTATGTCAATTTCTGAAATATAGTCTAAGAATGGAAGACTTTTTTTTAAAGAATAAAACATACTAATAGATCATATACACAATTATGGCATCATATAGTCAGATACACAATTGTGGTCGTGCCTCATCTTCATAACCACCATATCATCAGAGTAATATGAGTCTTGACGTGTAAGGTTCGCTCCTTCATCCTTGCCTTTTGTCTATCCCTTGTCTTTTCTATACCAATAATGTGTTAGAACAAGATTTGTTCATGACATATTATCTTTTGGTTTTGATGATAACAAAATATTTAAAGAGTAATGATTTATTTGATGTGTGTTTCATTTATGCAGGTTTTCATCATCGTACATAAATAATAAAAATTTGTATTACATGAACACACTTGAGAGTTGCTTCATTGCTAGCTTCTTGTGGCAGAGTCTGAAGAACAATTGCTAGTATGGCTTAGCGCAAACTCTGAACTGAAGGCCTCGACATTCAGACGAGTAACTACACTTGGTAATTGTATATCATCATCTGGTACCATTCAGAGTTGGTGATAAAGTTGTGGGTTGTCCGTACTGCAGAAAGCAGATTGTACTGTCTTGTCAGCCTGTCAGTTAGAATCTATATGATTACAAGGCTCAAGAAAGGTTGACATGTTATATAGACATTTACTCTCAAAGACTCTATAAGTACAAAACCTCTTGAAGACTCAAAGGTTAAACGTGGTACACACTGGATTCAGAATCTGCTGTGCATCCATCTTCAATGTCTCTTATACTATGAGGCAGATGCAAAGTCACTTGATTAAGTTACCTCTTCAACGGCTAGTTTCTGCAAAGGCTATAGAAATGGCTGAATATTCAAGTTTGAATCTTAACAAGGATTCTTCAGATGAAGGAGTATCAAGATCAAGCGATTATCAACTCTATTGTAATATGCAGATTTTCTGTTGTAGGTTGTAATCATAAAAGCCTTAATATTTCTTACCATTGAATGTATTAGAAATCTTAAGAGCTTTAGGTTTTTGTTATGGTGATTTCCCGTACCTCTGATACTTATATCATGTACACCTTGTTCTCTATTCTACTGAGTCTTCAGTAGTTTAGATCAAAGTTTCTTGCTGTGTGCTTGAGCAGAAGTCTTGTCTTATTGGGATTTAAGCAACAAGTCTTGAACCAAGATGCTTTAGCCACGTAAGTCTCATTACTTAAGTGGTTGAACTGTAAAAGTCTTATTCAGCTAGTCTGATTGAGCAAGGGGAAGTATCTGTCTGAAGGGCGTGAGCAAGGGAAGTCTCAGTTTGGATGGCCAGAAGAGCAGGTGGCTCGGCTAGAGGATGTGAGTAAGAAGTCTTAGACATGTGCTCTAATCAAGGGGAAGTATCAACCTGAAGACCTTTGGAGCAGGTGGCTCGGTCAGAAAGTGTGAGCAAGGGAAGTCTTAGACACGTGCTATAAGCATGGGAAGTCTCAGAAAATTGGTCTAAGCACGTGTAAAATACTTATGCAGAAGTTTAAGAGATTGTAATCATGAAATGGTTATAATGAAAATCTCTTGTGAGGCAAGGGGACTGGACTAATCTCATTTAAGGGAGGAACCATGATAAATATTTTGTGTCTTCTACTGCTATTTTGCTTACTTATGTTACATCCGTTGCCAATGAATTAAATAAGAATCTAAACACAATTTTGATTCTGAAACTTTGATTAGAAGTTAAATTAAAAGAAAACTATTCAACAGATCACCTTCTCTTTTTAGCTCAAGTTCTTTGGAATGACTAATGATAAGAAACTTAGGTTTCTTGTCAGAAAGACTTCCATACTATTGTGATATCTGTTGATAGAAGAGTAACTTCAGAAGCTTCTAAAATATTTGTATTTCAACTGATTTCCCAGATCTGAAAGCGAGAAGAAACACTACCAAAACCTAATATCAGATGCTTTTCTTTTGAAGTTGATATTAGTGCAGGATGCAGGTGAAAAGAAGCATATGTGTTATGAAATAAAAATCAAGTATTAAAAAGTAAGAGATGGTGTCAAATCTATCTTGCTTCAGTATATTTGATTATATGGAGTCTGTTCCTTAAGGTGATATATTAGGAAACTCCATTTGCTTCTTGATTGATGATCATCATGGAACTTGTTTTTAAAAGACATTTCTATAAGAAGTATTCAATTTCTCTTTGAGTTCTGTCGGTTGTACTAAGACAGTACTTTAATTTGCTTTGTGTTAAATTCTAATAGCTAACACCATTTGGTTCTAAGCTTGTCAACAATTTCAGAGTCAAAAGATTTAATCCTAGACAATGAGATTAGTGACTCTGCTTAGAACAAGTTTATGTTCTTATCATATCTCATCCTAGACTTATACTCTGGAGTGATTTATGATTTTTCTATTACAAAGAGACATAAGGTAAATAAGAGTATGTTTGTACTTACATGTGTGGTCTTATAGAAATATGAGTATCATAATGTATCTGCTACAAATATTAAAGAAAGTAGCAGAGGCATCTTCCATAAGGTTGTTTACAATTTTTATTGGAGGAAGAGCCAACAAACTACATTCAAGTAAGGGTGGTACGAAGTTTGGTGAGAGTAGTGGAGTTAGTGGTTAGAAAGTCATTGAATCAGAATCCACTCAAAACGGTGTTCGGACTCTATTGGTCAAGTCTGAATACTGAATTGAGTCTGACCGGGAAAAATAAAAAAAGGGTATGCTTGTTCTTTTCTGGTGTATCTTTTAATTCAATGAAACTTTTGTATAGATATAAATACAAAGTTTCTTTTAGACTTCTAGATAAGTTCTTTTGAAAAAAAGAACTTCAGAAATCATTA